CCCCCCCCCCCCCCCCCCCCCCCCCCCCCCCCCCCCCCCCCCCCCCCCCCCCCCCCCCCCCCCCCCCGGGGGTGTGTACGAGTAAGTGAGGAATCGTTTATGCCAGCAATGATAGCCGAGATGGCGAGTGATGAGCCTGGTAGGGCTGGTGAGGAGGACATTTGCCGAGATGTTAATGTCTTGCTTGGATGTGGTTGAATGGAGATTTGATATGTGAACCCTGACCTTTGAACATGACGTTGGTGGGATCGGCTTGGTTGGATGAATGATTTACATGTTATCTCAGTGTTTTGTTTTATTCTCCGCTATACCTTGTAGATGGAAAACTGTCGTGATGGACAATAAAATTGAGAATTGGGAGTATGATGATACAACATGGCTCTCAACAAGAGGTGTCGTTTATGACTTGTGATGAGTGTACAGCTATGTATCTCGGATACGAGCAAAAACAAAACCCTCAATTACAACTCACTAACCCGATAGACACTGACAAGCGTGCTCTTATCCAAGTTGTAGACCGTGCTTCATGCTAAAGCGATGATCAAACGGTGGCTCTCACGTAGCTCCACGATTAGCCTCTGAGTGACATGTGCCATTCCAATCGGCCCCTGTCCCGTGCATGAAAGACGGAGACACGGAAATGTCAGAATTCATCACGGTGGTGTGCTTCCCGCCTGACAAGACTAGCAGCAGAACTGATACAAATTGCGACCGTGGCACGTTCTGGAGAAGAACCTGTGATGATTGCATTGCCTCAGCGACCGGAGCATAGACCAGGGGTTCTCATCTTGATTTGACTATGCAACGCGCAAATCGTTCGTCATCTGGAGCCGTACCAATACGCACTCTAATCTTGGGGAAGCATGAATTATAATTCCGGAGAAGGGTCTGTGCTACCCAAAACGGGGAATTACAGTTATTCTAGGGTGTTTCACGTTGCTGTGGTGTATCGTAAGGTGCATTTATAGAAGCTGCACGTTGTTCGCACGTGTAAATTGAGATTTGGAGCATGGCTCATTGCAAAGGTGTGGTGTCGCGGAGCCTTGGAGTAGGTGCTTTTTGTGCCTTGTTTGGAGGATGAGGATGCTGGAGCCCCCGGGCTGGAGCTGGTGTGACAGATCACATTTTCCGCATTTTGGAGTCCTGGACTCGTGTCTTGCAGACGCGTCGCTTTTGTTGGCTTGAGAAAGAACCGCGACGAACAGGGGAGAAATTGAGCCAAAGCAAGGAAAACGCCCGTCATCGGTCTTAGCGAGGGAGCTGAAAGAGGGATCTTGGCGCCACGATGGCCATTGGGAATTTGAAGCTGTGAGAATTTTATTTTTTGCCGATACAGAAGATTCAACTGACACTGGCTGGATGGATGGAGGCGTGTTCTGCAATCTGGAGCCGGAGTCACATCTAATGGAGACATTTGCTCTTGTCACGATGCTATCGCAAGTAAAAGCAGGGCTCACATCACCATGAAGATCCATACCAAGCTGGTCTTAGCATCCCATCCATATCAGAAATTATGTCGACACCCTTGGAAGCGTTTTACTGCATCCAGATGTCGTACAGGCCAAGCAAGCAACGGACGCATGTGCTAATGCGGTCAATTGCCGGAGGCCTTGCAGATGGTGCCTGCATGACTCGAATCCCTCTCGTCGGAATCACATCACATCACAGACACGAGCTTTGCATGTTTCACTCGAAAATGGACAACAATGGCTCTGGCGATGGAGACGAAAACTCGACGTCCCTTGCCCCAGCTAGAGTCCCGCGTGGTTGGTCGGCCATGCGAAAAAGACGCCATCGGGGAGCTGAATAGCAGATCCAACCAATCTTTTCTCATGTTGCATCTGCCAACTCGCCGATACTTGCGATAGCTAATATAGACTCAACCGTTATGAGGGCGCCCTTTGACGCTAAAGAAAATGTCCAGGAGGCTAAAAAGGGAACTTGGACCTCTTCAGCATAGTCCCGGGATGCTCCCCTGATTCTTTGGTGCCATTCTCGGGGAATCGGGCATGGCGAGGACAGGCTCTGAAATTGGCCCCTCGCGGCTTGGACGGAAGGGGAGTTGGGCGATTGAACGGGTGAAGGAAGACATTGGTTGAGGGATCTTGGTGAGGGGGATGGTGGATGACCTCTTTATGCTATCAAATGTGAAGGATAAAAGAGGTGGGTGGTGGAATGCTGATGCGATATGTCTTGCTCCGAAGCCAATAACGACGCATTAGATTGCTAATGTTGTTCATCTGCATGGACGTTTGATCTCGGGCAATAAGAACCGAAGGGAAGCGAAGACAACGTCGTGTTAGAGAGATGGTGCCGTGAGTAAGGAGTGGCCCGTGTGCATATTAACGGATAGCCTCGTGTGGAGGACCGACGCGACGGGTAACGGCGTTTGGACGTTGCCCAGCAGGTATCCGTACGAGTACATGCAGCTTGGACGTGCTGTACTTTGCATCGACCAAGAGAATTGAGTTTTGAGGTGCTGGGCTACGATGCGCGTCAGGTAGCGAGGTCGCTGCCCGTGCTGTAGTTGCAACGTCGAGCGCTAATTGGAGGCTCGCTGAGCGCTGCAAAATACAACTGCAGCGGGGTCGCGCGTGTTGTATGTACCGGGACGTGCTGTAGTCGGGTATTTCCACCTGCGCCCAAGCTGCGTCCTGTCTCCCTGCAGCACGCATCAGCTGGATCAATTGGATGTACCCGGTGTCCCTCTGCAGCCGTGTTCGCAGGTTCCCGTACAATGACTGCAGTGGCTGGCGACACAGGGGCCCCTTGCACCTGCTGCAGCGCTAGAGCGCCAAAGCCCTAGCGCGAGGTGGCGCCACAGCCAGGGCGGCGCCCAGGGACCAATCGCCGCGCTAGGCCGGACCTGCCCAGCCCAATCCAAGCTGCCGGCTGAAGAGGCAGCTGTCCGCTTACAGGTACCTTGGTTGATGTCGGGTGCATGTTCCTTTTCGTACCACTTGCGAGTTGCCATCGCTCGACCAACCAGTTTTAGTGCAGTGCAGCGTTTTTGTTGTTGCCGGTGCGAGCAGCAAAACCTCCAGGATTGATTGGGCTGGTTGCTAAATTACGGCAATCACCTTGGAAGGGCCCTTGGATCACACCCGAGGCCAATTTCGAATCCAATCTGCATGTACGAGTACAAGTACCTACCAATCTACTAATGTACTCGTATGCAGTTCTTGGGATGTGATGCGCTCCATACAAGTACATGTATGAGTTACTCGTACATGCATATGGACCGCAGCGTGTGCTTCGGACTGGACGCAGCCACTTCGTGCACATTAGTAGTCAAATCTCACCTACCTGTGCCTATCGATGGTTTCCCCCATGCCCTGGGCGAGACGAGACATTCTGTCTCTCGCAAAGTCCTCCATTGCAAAACCTCCACACTCTCCTTCACCCGCTCTGGAATCGCATTCCATTCATTTCGTCGTTTCCCCCATCTCTTTCGTTGTACTCGCATACGGAGTACTTGTACGAATATGCGACGTCAGCACCGCTAGAACTGGCCCTTGTCTTCATCGATCTCTCGCTGCGTCCCCCCGAAGGCCTTCCCTGCAATCGCCCTTGTCCGCGCGCCCATTCCCGTGACTTTTGCATCCAGGCTCTTTTGCGCAAATCGCCCTTCAACTAGACGCTGGTACCCACGATCGCATTTCCATAAGCCATAGCTGCTTACATCGTCTTTCTTTCTTCCGAAGCCAGAGCTCATCTGGGAGTTTTGTCGTCACCGAGTTTGTTGTAGCTTCGAGTGTCTGGCCTGCGGTTCTCGACTTTGACCGTTGCCCACCCCCCGGCGGTACTTTATCGGCAGGTCCATCAGTCATCAAATCTTATTAGTTTTCCCCAAAGGGAAAAAAAGGAAAATCCACCGCTTCTTCTGTTGGCCACCGACGACAAGAAACCCTCGCCCCGAGTCACCCTGTTTTTTTCTTTTTTTCGTTGTTTTTGCGCTCTGTTTTCTTCTTCTTCTTGAGGCGGATCTCGTTCATCGTAGGTCGGGATATCTCTGGCTGGGATTTGAGACCCAGTTGCTCCGCTTCGCCTTTGTTCGCTACACACCACGCAAAGACTTCTCCGGACATTCTTGTGCGAGAGAGCGGTATGAAACCCCCCCTCCATCGTGGATGCCTCTCAGCCCCCTATCCTCAGCGACATACACAAACCGCTGCCAAATCGACAGCCCGAGGATAGGCTGGCCACTCGCTGCAGGCTGCAATGCTAACATGATCATATTTACCAGGTACCGCTGTTTCGCCTGTGTTATTGAGTAATTTACTCCCCCCCGTCGGCCGGGCTGTTCGTCTCCATTCTTGCGGCCTGTCTGCACCCGATAGCGCTGCATTACCTACTCGTACCTCTGCTATTCGACATCTGGCCCAACGCATCTGCCGTTCATGGACGGCCGAAGCCTCTGAGGGCACAAAGCACTACGCACAAGCCATCACGCACAGCCGGCCAGCATAATCCTTATACCCACTGGCCACTGCGCTTCTTATACCACACCGGAAAGGCAGTATGGCGACCGCTCTTCCGCGCCCTCGCCCCTCGATGGGGCCCTCAGACACCTCTCTTCCCACTCTTTCCGTCCCCAAGAGTCGGAAAAGCATAGCCTCCATCCCCAGCCCAAAGACACCAAATGCGCCCCGAAGCGGTTTACGAGCACCCTCCTCAGCATCTACCGTTTCCTCCAACGGCGCAGTCCCTCCGATGCCAAAGGCCGGCCAGCAGCTTCGAAAAGCTGTCAGCATCAATTCATTTCCGAAACCTCCCAAGGGCGACAATCGGTTCGGCAGCATGCCATCCAGCCCTCTGGCAGGAGGCGACAAAGCTCGCTCTGCGCGAAAACCAAAGTCCGCTAGAGACTCCGTAGCCAGTAGCAACACTCCAACGCCCACGCCGAGTCT